AGGTGTAAGAACTGGTTCATACTAAGGTGTAAATGACTGAGGTGGGGGAGGGGGGCCAATAACAGGCTGGATGAAACCAGCTCTGGCCCTGACCAGAGGAGAACAGGACCCCCAGTTATTGAATACCTAAGGGCCTGGGAAGGGAAATTCCACATGGTGGGGGAGGGGGGCCAATAACAGGCTGGATGAAACCAGCTCTGGCCCTGACCAGAGGAGACCAGGACCCCCAGTTATTGAATACCTAAGGGCCTGGGAAGGGAAATTCCACACACTAACTGTGTCTCCTTGAATCCCCACAACAGCCCCATGAGGCAGGTACCATTATAGGCTTCATTTTACAGAGGAGGAAAGGGAGGTGCAGAGAAGTTAAGTGGTTTTCCAGAGTCTTCCAGCCAGGACGGACAGTGAGTCTGCTGGGCTGTGAAGCTCATTTGGCTAAGCTGGAACCCACGCTCAGCTTCAGGCTGAGGCAGAGTCAGCTGAGAGGTTCTGGGTGAGCAGCAGCGGGAGGCAGCTGGTGGGTCCTGAGGGTGCGGATGGGGGTGTCCATGCAACTGAGGAGGGGCAGGAATTCTCTGGGGTGTCAGACCTCCTCCCCTCAGGAAGAGGATGTTACCTGGGAGGGGGGCAGAGGAGAAGGTTCTCCAGGGAAACACCCTGTGCCTGTTGTCTGCAGAAGTAGGTGCTCCAGACCCCAGTATTACTGAATGTGTGCACAGTGGGCACCTCCAGGAGGTGCAGGTGGTGGGGTGGTGCCCTGGGGCATTTTGGTTCTCCCATGTCCCTCCTCTCAGTTCTTCCTGGCTATACTCTGTGCCGGGGGAGGCTGTGAGTGGCCCCTCAGGCTTTGAGAGTTGGGAGCTGAGGGTGGGGGGATTGGCGTGTCTGGGTTCTTTCCTGGACCCATCTGCCCTAGAATCCCCCAAAGATCCTCCCCTAGCCCCACACCCATCCTACCCAGACCACACTCACAGCAACCCAGGCTGGGAGCCAGGGCAGTGGGAGGAGGCTGGAACTTGGCTAGAAGAAGCAGTGCTGTGAGGGTGTGTGCTCTGACAAAGAGGGAGCACGGAGGGGGCAAGCCTCACTCTGTCAGGGGACCAGGGACAAGCTAAGGCTACCAACAGTCTCTGATGCAGACTCCTCGCAGTTCACAGTTCTCGACACCCTCCTCCAGGAGGCTCACAGATTCCAGTGGGGCAGGGATTCTTGTGTCCATTTTATAGATGAGGGAACTGAGGCTGGCCCAGCCAGTGGGAGGCTAAGCAGGGCTTAGCACAAGTTCTCCTGATGACAAAGCCTGCTCCAGTCTAGGCCAGGCCAGACGCCCAGCCCTCTGTCAGAGAAACAAGGGGCTCGTTCTCCCCCAGCCCTCGCCGTGCCGGCTGGTACTGCCAGGTCCGGTGGCCCCCACCCCCTGCACCAGGACCAACTGAAGTCAGATTGTCTCTGGGTGTGTGTGTGTGGGGGGGCCTGTCCAGTGCTGTGTGGATGGGTGTGCAGCTGCGAGGAAGTAGGCTGGGCTAGTGCGTGTGGTAGTCAGTGGGGTGCAAAGACGGGGACACCCCTCTGTGGGAGTACGGAGAAGGGGGAGGCGGAGGCATGAGTGGAGGCTGTGGCTATGCCTCTGCTGCAGGACGGATGAGGTGGTGAGTGGCACCTCTGCTCCTTTCTTCCTGAGGACTGCCCTCTTGGGAGCTGGGCAGAGAGACCCCTGAGGCTGAGGCAGCCCCTTCCCACTTTATAGGGAAGTCACTCAGAGTGGTGGAAGGAGCCCTGGTTGGGGGTCAGATGGCTTGGACTCCATTCCTGGCCCTGGATCAACCAGCCCTGCAACCTCGAATGAGCTCCTTCTGGGCTCTGTATGAAGACTCTCCCCTCCCCAGCATGGGCTCAGGGGCCAGACTGCCTGGGATCAGATCCCAGCTCTGTCCCCGCTGCAAGACACTTAACCTCCCTGTGCGTCTGTCTCTCCTGATCTATAAAAGGATAGTAATAACTAAAACCACCTCACAGGGCTCTTTGAGGTGAAAGTGCTTAGAATAGTGCCTGACACAGTAAATTCTCAAATAAATGCTAGTTATTATCATTTCTATGATCTGGTGATTTTCACTGAATATTTGCCAGTACTTTCCACTAATGCTGACTTAGCGTGTTACCTGGCATTAGCCAGAACATATCAGCTTGTGCTACTTTTCTTTGCTACCCCCAGAGGTCTGGGGCTGATTCTTAGGACCTTGGGGCACAGCTCTGACCTCTGGCTCACATTGGTCAGCTCACCCTGGAAGTCTTGTGCTTATCCATGTCTCACTGCTCAGCCCCACCGGGTGCTATGCACTGTGCCAGACACATTGTTTTCATTTAACGCTCTCACCAGTCTTCTGAAGTAGAAACTGCTTAGAGATCAGGGAACAGGCTCAGGGAAGTTAAGTGACTTGCCCAAGGTCACACAGCAAAGAAGTGGCAGAACTGGGATTCAAGCCCACATCTGCCCTAGTTGAAAACCCTTATTCAACCACAAAGTCATACTGCCTCTTTCAATATCCCAAAGATGAGGACCCTCCAGCCCCTGCCAGGACCCTCGGGGAGTCTGGAGCACCCCAGGGGCCTTGCACCTCTGAGAATCTCAGCCCATCCAGCTGGGAGGGACCTTAGAAATCACGGGGTCCAATCTTTTCATTTTGTTCATGGGGAGATGGAGAAGGGACTTGCCCAGGGTCATTCAGTGAGCTAAGGACAGAGTGGGCCCAGCTGCAGGACTCATTCTGTCCTGTCTTCAACCTTCCAGACTAGGCCTGGGGGCCTAAGTCAACACCTGTCCCACTGGGACCCATAGAAGATCAGGGCTGATGTGCTGGGTAGTGGAAAGTCCTCTCTGCACCCTGAGGTGGCCCACCCTGCACAAGGTTATAATTGTCTGTGGACTTGCCTTTCTCATTGATTAGAATGCAGACTCCGTGAATTCAGGGACTACAGTTGTATCCCCAGTGCCTGGTTCATAAGTAGTACTCATTCCCTTCACACGTTCATGCAGCTTCCACCAGGTCCCTGGCTCTGGGCTAGAGGCTAAAGGTACAGCAGTGAACAAGACAGAAAGAAATCCTGCCTTTGGGGAGTTTGCATTCCTAGCAAGAAAAAGACAGACAGTGAATAAAATAAATAAGCAAAAATGCATAGTATTTAAGGTGGCAGTAAGTGATATGGAGAAAAATAGGAGGGAAGGGGCGTAGGGAATGTGCGTGGTGGGTAGGGGTTTTGCAATTTTAATAGGTTGGTTTTGGAAGGTCTCTAGAAGGTGATATTTGAGCCTTGGAGGAGGTGAAGGAGCCATGACAGTGTCAGGGAAAAGAGCATTCTAGGTAGAGGGAGCAGCAAGAGCAAAGGCCCTGAGGCAGGAGGAGGCCTGGGGTGTTTGAGGGACTGCAGGGACTGGTGAGTGTGGCTGGAGCAGATGGAACAAGGGGGACAAAAGGAAGAGATGGGGTCAGAGGGGAACACGAGGTGGGAGCAGATCATAGAGGGCCTCTTAGGCCATGGTGAGGACTTTGGATTTTATTCTGAATGAAGTGGGCGCTTCGGAGAGTTCTGAGCAGGGGGACGGACAGGATCTGACTTAGGTCTCAGTAGGGTCCATCTAATTACTGAGTCACAAGAATGTTGTCAGATCATAGAGGGCCTCTTAGGCCATGGTGAGGACTTTGGATTTTATTCTGAATGAAGTGGCCGCTTCTGAGAGTTCTGAGCAGGGGGACGGACAGGATCTGACTTAGGTCTCAGTAGGGTCCATCTAATTACTGAGTCACAAGAATGTTGCGGGGCAAGACAGAAGGAGGGAGTCTGAACACTAGGAGGTGCCTTCAGGAATCCAGATAAGANAGTTGTATCCCCAGTGCCTGGTTCATAAGTAGTACTCATTCCCTTCACACGTTCATGCAGCTTCCACCAGGTCCCTGGCTCTGGGCTAGAGGCTAAAGGTACAGCAGTGAACAAGACAGAAAGAAATCCTGCCTTTGGGGAGTTTGCATTCCTAGCAAGAAAAAGACAGACAGTGAATAAAATAAATAAGCAAAAATGCATAGTATTTAAGGTGGCAGTAAGTGATATGGAGAAAAATAGGAGGGAAGGGGCGTAGGGAATGTGCGTGGTGGGTAGGGGTTTTGCAATTTTAATAGGTTGGTTTTGGAAGGTCTCTAGAAGGTGATATTTGAGCCTTGGAGGAGGTGAAGGAGCCATGACAGTGTCAGGGAAAAGAGCATTCTAGGTAGAGGGAGCAGCAAGAGCAAAGGCCCTGAGGCAGGAGGAGGCCTGGGGTGTTTGAGGGACTGCAGGGACTGGTGAGTGTGGCTGGAGCAGATGGAACAAGGGGGACAAAAGGAAGAGATGGGGTCAGAGGGGAACACGAGGTGGGAGCAGATCATAGAGGGCCTCTTAGGCCATGGTGAGGACTTTGGATTTTATTCTGAATGAAGTGGCCGCTTCTGAGAGTTCTGAGCAGGGGGACGGACAGGATCTGACTTAGGTCTCAGTAGGGTCCATCTAATTACTGAGTCACAAGAATGTTGCGGGGCAAGACAGAAGGAGGGAGTCTGAACACTAGGAGGTGCCTTCAGGAATCCAGATAAGACATGGTGCAGGCTGGGCCTACATTAGTGGCAGCGGAGGTGGTAGCAAAGGGGCGTGTATCTGAGGTTGGATCTAATAGGATCAGGATGTGGGCCTGAGACACAGGGGAGTTAGGCTTGACTCTGAGTTTTGGGGGCTGACCAACTGCAGAAAGTGAAGAGAGAATCTGCAGTTCTGGTCCAGGAATGGGGAAGCTGGGATGCACGTCTTAGCTCTGTCACCAGCTTGCTCAGTGACTTTGGGCAAATCCTTTCCCTTCTCGGGGCTCAGTGTCTTCTCCTGCACTGTGGGTGCCATCCCACTTGCCCTGGCCCCTCCCCAAGCCCCAGTGCTTTGTGGAGGAAAGGGCCTCACAGACCTGCCCCCGTTGTCCACAGGGAGGCAGCGCCAGCAGCCGCCATGGCATCGCGCATCGGGCTGCGCATGCAGCTCATGCGGGAGCAGGCGCAGCAGGAGGAGCAGCGGGAACGCATGCAGCAGCAGGCCGTCATGCATTACATGCAGCAGCAGCAGCAGCAGCAGCAGCAGCAGCAGCAGCAGCAGCAACAGCAGCTGGGGGGGCCGCCCACCCCTGCCATCAACACCCCTGTCCACTTCCAGTCACCGCCACCTGTGCCTGGGGAGGTGCTGAAGGTAGGCCTGCTCCAGCCTGCCCCCCCACCACTGGTCTCAGCACCCCCTGGAACCCTTGCCTTCTCCCCTGCCAGGTGCAGTCCTACCTGGAGAATCCCACCTCCTACCACCTGCAGCAGTCCCAGCACCAGAAGGTGCGGGAGTACCTGTCCGAGACCTACGGGAACAAGTTCGCCGCCCACATCAGCCCTGCCCAGGGCTCCCCGAAACCGCCACCAGCCGCCTCCCCAGGGGTCCGGGCCGGACATATGCTGTCCTCCTCCACTGGTAACAGTGCCCCCAACAGCCCCATGGCCATGCTGCACATCGGCTCTAACCCCGAGAGGGAGGTGAGTGAGGGGCTGACCCACGCTGCTGCCTCCTCTGCCTGGTGCTGTGCTCCTGAGACTCCCAGTCCAATGGCTGAGGCAGGAGTGCTGCTTTCAGGGAGCCCCAGGGTGAGGGGAGACACAGCTCTGTCCTCAGGGAGCCCCAGTCTGATGGGAGACACAGCCCCATCCTCAGGGGGCCCCAGTCTCAGGGAGACACAGCCCTGTCCTCAGGGAGCCCCAGTCTCACAGGTGAAACACCATCCCTACTTTTGAAAGCTCTGCTAGGGAGAAACAGAGGACTCATACGGGAAAGCCCAACATACCCGCAAAGCCATAACAGGGCAGGTAGGCTCCTTGGGAAGAGCCCAGGCCCAGCCTTGGGGCTTGTGGGACCCAGATAGCTCATCCCTTCTCTGGGCTTGTTTCCTCCTCCCCTAAATGAGCGGGTTGGGTGAGGTGGGTCCCAAGGTCCCTCCATATCAGTGGCTGCCCCAGTGCCCCTTTGCCCCCATGGGCCGTCCCCAGATGGACTTTTCTCTCTTCCAGTTGGATGATGTCATTGACAACATTATGCGTCTGGACGATGTCCTGGGCTACATCAATCCTGAAATGCAGATGCCCAACACGGTACTCCTGGTCAGGGTGGGATGGGTGTGTAAGTGTGTTTGAGGTGGCAGAAGACCCACACTAGCTCTGAGCCTGGAGAGAGCCAGAGCCAGGGCCTCACCAGGCAGAGCTGGCATCTTTCTGTAGAAACAAGAGTTGCCTCCATCAGAAAATGTGATGAGGGCCCAGGAACAAGCAGAATTATGAATCAAGAAGGATATGCCTCAGCCTGTGTGCATGATATGGCCTCAGAGGGGAGAGGGATGGCTGGGGCAGTCGGGAAGGCTTCCTGGGAGGAGGGGAGGGGTGCAGAGCAGGCTGGGACAGCATGGGAGGGGAGCAGTGAGTCCACAGGAAGGCCTGGAGCTGCTGAGTTCCTTTGGGGATCTGGGGTTCCAATCCTCTACCAAGCCCAGTGGGCACAGGCCTGTGTCCCTCACTCCATGGGGCTGGCCTTTCAAGGGGTCCCCACCACAGGACCCCTCCCTCTGGCAGCTTCTGGCAGCACGACCACTCTCTGGGTCTCCTGGGCAGAGGTGAAGTGGCAGGTGGGAAGGATCTGGGCTTGGGATCAAGAGGCCTGGCTTCTGGCTTGTGTTGTGACCTTGGGAAGTCTCTCCACCATTCTGACCCCCAGTTTTCTCAGCTGCAAAATTGGGGTGATGCCATCTACCCACAGGATTGTGGGAAGATTAGATGAAACAAGAAATGGAGAGCAAGCTCTATGGAAGGGTGACAAGTGTTCACACTGAGAAGGGGGAATTGCTGGTGCCCCCTCCTTTTTTGGAGGTCCTGATCCTCAACTGCTTATTCCTGCTCCTTGGGCCTGAGCCTGTTACCCTGATACTGGCCCAGCAAGCTCTATGGAAGGGTGACAAGTGTTCACACTGAGAAGGGGGAATTGCTGGTGCCCCCCTCCTTTTTTGGAGGTCCTGATCCTCAACTGCTTATTCCTGCTCCTTGGGCCTGAGCCTGTTACCCTGATACTGGCCGTAGCCCATACCACCAAGGGAAAGTCCCCAATTCCTGCGGTGGGGAGTCAAGGAGTGAATGTCATTGCCCTGGTGACATTGCTGAGTGGCTTCACAGTAGCTGGCTGGGACTGGTTGGGTCCAAACCTCCAGCTAGCCGGGGCAGTGAGGGCTGAGGCGGTGGGGGAGGGTGGGTGCCAGCGTCTGGTACCTTTAGTAGTTCCTGTGTACACTGTGAGGTGTCTGGGCCTGTGATTTGCTCTGTGTGTTTCTGTGGCAGGAGGTTTCCAAAGCTCAAATCTGTCCCTGTCAGACCCCTGCTTAAACCTCCACTGGCTGCCCATTCCAAAATCCCAGTGTCTCTGTGGGTCAAACATAGCACTCCATGATCCAGCCGTGTGTCCTGTCCCTGTCCCCATCACACTCCTGCTGCTCGAGCATCTTGAAATGGCTGCACTCTGGCCAGCCTTGCCTTTGCTTGTGTACCCCCTGCCAGTAGAGCCTTTCCTCACATGTCTGCTCAGGACTCCTTGAGTTGCACGCCCTCCAGGAAACCTCCCAGAAACTCCAGAATTGATTAGGTGCCCCTCCCTAGGGCTAAATAATGCCTAGGGCCTAATCCTATCCCTTAACTGGTTTGGTCACTCTCAGTCACTCTAGGCTGGCTGCTCCTTGAGGACAGGGGTTGCATCTTGTTTGGCTCTGGACTCTGCAGACTTTCAGGTTGAATTGCTGAGTGAAGGGCCCGGGGTGAACTCTGATGCCCCTGGTGTCCCTAGGAATGGCTGTTCCTGGGACAATGGTCTCCGAAGGGGGCTCCCCAAGGAGAGGGGGCTGCTCACCAGGTCCCCCTCCCTGCCTCACCCCACAGCTACCCCTGTCCAGCAGCCACCTGAACGTGTACAGCAGTGACCCCCAGGTCACAGCCTCCCTGGTGGGCGTCACCAGTAGCTCCTGCCCTGCGGACCTGACCCAGAAGCGAGAGCTCACAGGTACTGCCTCCCTCTCCCTGCGCCCCTGGACCCCCTGCCACCCCTCTGCTGTGCTCCCTCCCCTCAGCTCCTCTCTCCTCCCCTGGTTTCCAGATGCTGAGAGCCGGGCCCTGGCCAAGGAGCGGCAGAAGAAAGACAATCACAACCTCAGTGAGTCCTGCCCAGCCCCCTCCCTGCCTCCTTCTTCCCTGATCTCACCTCGGGCTGGCTGCAAAGCCACTCCCCGAGCTGCACACGTTCTAGAAAGGCTTCCCTGTCCAAAGTCAACTCCCTTGCATCTGCCTTAAACCCTCCCACTGGTGTGACTCAATGGTGGCGCCATTCGCCATTCGGTGGTGGGTGAGGCCGTTATCACCCTCCTCACACTAGTCCTCTTTATGGAGGTGGGAGAGGGGCTCCTGGGAAGGGACATTCATGAAGTCCCCACTTTATCAGCTTGCGGGCCGTTATCACCCTCCTCACACTAGTCCTCTTTATGGAGGTGGGAGAGGGGCTCCTGGGAAAGGACATTCATGAAGTCCCCACTTATCAGATTGCTTTCTTATCAGATTGTTCTCTTTAGGGTGTGGCACCTGGGGCCACTGAAGGGCTTCTGAGCAGTGGGGAGGAGTCCTACCCCAGATGGTTTTGCTGTGCTAACAACCTGACCAGGGCCAATTTGGCCTTGAGGTGCCCCTTAATTGTGTCTGGCCTGCGCCCTGGCACCCCCCGACACCTGCAGAAATCCCAGTCTGTTGGTCACCCCTTACTTACCATAAAGGCTAAGTCTAAGCTGTAGGTTGCCCCTGCGGTGCCCCTCCCTGGCTGGGTGCCTCTCCACATGTGCGGTCCCTGTCCCTCTGATTGCTCCCTCTGGAATCTGTATTTCAGTTGAAAGGAGACGGAGGTTCAACATCAATGACCGCATCAAGGAGTTGGGAATGTTGATCCCCAAGGCCAACGACCTGTAAGCAGGTTTCTGGTGGGGAGGGAGAGGCCTGGGAGTGGGCGGCAGCTGACGAGTACTATCTGCCCCCAGCCCCATGCCAGTTATGAGGGGGAAGTGATGGGAAGAGAATCCCTTCTAGGAGCTCATCTTCTGTTTGAGAAAAGAAGATCTCTCCTTCTTCCAAATCAGGAAAACTCAGGGCAGATGAGCTCCTGTCCTAGAAGTGAGGCTGGGGTTAAGGGAGGCTTCCTGGAGGAGGAGTCCTGCTGGGAAAGTTTTCTCAAGGGCGTTGGACTGGTGGAGAGAGGGATAGTAGTTAAGAACCTAGGATAGGGCTGGCCCGGTGGCGCACTGCTACAGTGCGCCGCTTGGGAGTGTGGCGGCGCTCCCGCCGAGGGATCCCACATACAGACCGGTTCCCGCTCACTGGCTGAGCGAGGTGCGGGCGCAGCGCCGAGGGTTGTGATCCTGTTGCCGGTCCCGGTCCGGTACGGGCGCGACACTGAGGGTTGCGATCCGTTGCCGGACACGAAAAAAGACAAAAAGGAAAAAAAAAAAAAAGAACCTAGGATAGGCTTGGGTTTTGGTGAAAGGAATGGAAGGAGGCTGCTCCCTGTTTCCAATAGCTTGGTTCCATGGGATAAGTGAGGTGGGTGGTGGCAACAGAAGTCACCTGGGAGGGCCTGTTCTATGCAGACTGAGATCAGCCTCTTCCACAAATAGGGGGTGGCCAGGTCTGGGGTTGGTGGGCAAGGCTGAGACAGGCGACATAGGCTCTGAAACCAAAGCAGTGACAGGACTTGGCCCCTCTCTGAGCATGCACCCTGACTTCACCTGGCCTGCCACTGCAGGGACGTGCGCTGGAACAAGGGCACCATCCTCAAGGCCTCTGTTGATTACATCCGGAGGATGCAGAAAGACCTGCAGAAGTCCAGGGAGCTTGAGAACCACTCTCGACGCCTGGAGATAACCAACAAGCAGCTCTGGCTCCGCATCCAGGTCTGGCCCTGAACTCAGACTGCTTGGGTACCTCTGACCCCTGACCCTGCTTTGGCTTCTGACTCCAGGGCTGGGCTTCTGACTCCAGGGCTGGTGCTTATACTTCTGAAATTGGAGACACAGGAATGATGCCAATGAGGAAGGAGTATCAGTCAAGATGGTATACTTTGGTAACCAACAGTCCCCAGCACCTTTAACAACAAATATCAGCTGGGGGTTCTGTTCTGCGAGACCTTCATTCTGAGACCCAGGCTGATGGATAGGCACATCTAGAGCTGGCTTTTAAAGCCATATGTCACCCTTAAGGTGCCACATGTCACTTCTGCTCACATGTGTTTGGCCAATGCAAGTAAACTCTACACCTAACTTCAAGGGGGCAGGGAAGTGTGCCTGGGAGGGAGAAAGCTGGGACCACCTGGTGGATGGTGCTAAGAATCACCACGGGGCAAACTAAAGAACAAGGGCTGGGAGAGTCAGCCCTACCAGCTGGAGCTGCAAGTTCTAGTCCTGGCACTGTACTGAGGGCCTCTGACCCTCTTTGTATCTGAGGTGGTGCTCTATACAAAGGCCGACTGGACTGCAGCTTTTAAACGTTTCTATTTCTCATGGTAAGTAATACAATTTACATTAAAATCCAGTGCACACAGACACGTTTAAAGTGAAAAATCTAAGTTTCATGAAAGAATACTCATCCTTAATAGGTGCAGTGCATTCTGCTTATTTCTATGCCAGGCTAGCCAAGACAAGTCTATTTCAATTTAAAAAACATGGAGAGAGAGCTGGTCAAGACTCACTAGTGTGGTTTCACAACCCACGAATGAGTTACAACTTGTGGTTTGAAAAGACACTGGTCTAGACTCTAGAGCCGCCCTATGCTTTCTTCCAGTGGAGACATGTTGTGGTCTCAGGTGCTACAAGGGGAGAGGCAAGCTCTGTGATGGGGGTCTGGGAAGGGGTGGCTTGGCAGCTGGGGCCATGGGTGTGTGCCCCCAGCCTCCTGTCTGCCTCTGCAGGAGCTGGAGATGCAGGCACGAGTGCATGGTCTCCCTACCACCTCCCCGTCTGGCATGAACATGGCTGAGCTGGCCCAGCAGGTGGTGAAGCAGGAGCTGCCCAGCGAAGAGGGCCCAGGGGAGACCCTGATGCTGGGGGCCGAGGGGGTAGGAGTCTGGGAACTCCCAAGGCCAGTCCTTCAAGCAGTTGGGAAATCTCTGTCCTACTTAATCTTCCCTTTCACCCTGGGGATTTTCTCAGTGGAGTGGCGAGCTGCCCGCTC